GCTGATGTGCAGGTGAGTATCCTGAGGAAGGGAGGTGAAGAGCAACCGCTTGCTAGTTTTCCAGTTGTGCATCTCTCTAACTTCATGGTAATGCCCTTCATAATTGACCAGTGAAAGGAAGAAGGCCTGAGGAACTTTTCTTGAGCAGGGCAAATAAACTGTCATGACCCTTCCACAAAACTTTACTCTTTTGTCTCCAAAATCCATCTCTCATTTTTTAAATAAGAGGGACTATTGTTTAAGACAATATTAAATAAGCAATTTTCTAAAAACAAATTTGGAAAAGGCAGAGGTGGACAATGTATATGTATTTTTAAAAATCTTACCAATACTCTGTGTAAAATATGATACCATTCCACCCAAAGTTTTGCTGTTATGTGTGTTTTGTTTTCAACTAGATTTAAATTCCAGAGAGCAGGAGACATGTCAGCCAGTACATGTGATCAATGTGGACATTCAGGATAACCACGAGGAGGCAACCCTGGGTGCTTTCCTTATCTGTGAGCTCTGCCAGTGTGTAAGTAGAGGCCTCATTGCCTATGGATACCTTGGATCCAGCTGACTGCCCCGGGGTTGGGGTTTGCTTAGTGCTACTTAAAGGTGCTACATGGTGCAAAAGTTGTTTTAAGTCAAGAGAGGTTTTAAGTTTCCAAATTCTTGTGGTTGTTTTCGGAGCTGTTGTGCAAACAGAGGAATTGTAACAGAGTTCATGGTTCCCGAAGTGGAGACTCTGTGTGTGCGTTCGAAACCAACGCGTTGATGGCTTACGTGTCATGCGCAGTGCTCTGCAATACTGCTTTTCCATTACACGTGTCGAGCCCATGCTCAAAACACTGTTTATGGCAAAACCATCCATTTCAAAAGCAGTTGTAATAGGGGGGATTTAAACATCAGCGTTGCATTCTGGATCACGATATACTTGAAAAACATCCTACGTAGGTGTATTTCATAGTTCCACCTTGTTGTGTGTGTGATGTGGAAATAAAACCTGGTGCCTTCTGTCATCCGCATTTGGGGGCCCGAGCGCTTGAAGTAAGACTGAAATAAGCTGTGCTCAGAACAGCCGACGTAACTGTCGAGAACAGAGAAAGGATCTGTGTCCTTTTACAGCGTGCAAGTTGATGAGTTCACCTAGTCCAGTGTGGTAACAGGCTTTTTTTTTTTTTTTTTTTTTTGGATTTTTTTTTTTGGTACTCTAGCCTGTGAGATCTATTCTGGTCTTAAATCCTTTCCCCGATTCAAAAAGCCTGAGAGGGTTCAAGGACTTGAAACTTTAGCCATCTGTTCGGTGTGCTTGTAACTATTCTGAAGCTTCCATTTGTTATCTAGTGAGGATGGATGTTGCCTACTCAACAAAGTACTAGTGAAGTGCCAGTTCAGTGGGTTGGAGAGGGAAGGATATGCAGGTAACCGTGATGCGGAAGATGTATACGTTTGGGAATGCTGGGAATCGCAATAAAGCACCCAGGGCTGCGCTATTTGGTACAGCCTGCTGGTTTAGATTTCACAGTGAGCCAAAAGCATTGAATTGTTACAGTTTGCTAAACCACATCATACCCTTGGAGTCTGGTTGCTTAGTATTTTTTCTCTTCTAGATACAGCACACAGAAGACATGGAAAATGAAATAGATGAGCTGTTACAGGAATTTGAAGAGAAAAGTGGAAGGACTTTTCTTCATACTGTCTGCTTTTATTAAAGCACATCTGTCTCTTAGGCCTTAATACAGATGAGGGAAGCATGTGTTTAAAGTTCTGATTATACTGTATTTTCCTGGAAAATGAATATTGATCTTTTTTGTTTAAAAACTCTTTTTCAGTGTCTTTTTGTTTTGTTTCAGGTATTCTGTCACAGGTAGGCAGAGATACTGGTGGGGCTTGTACATATGAGATGATTAAAAGTATACACAAAGGCCACCTATTTAAAAATGAAAATCAAGATTTCCTTTAAATCCTACTTTAATTATTACAAGTAGGTTTTTAATTATAAAGAGAATGTTTCTTGAATATAAGTTTATAATGTATTTTTCCAGCTTACAAATTTATTTTATTTCAGTTGTGCTTTTTTTTTTATTTTAATGTGACAGAATGGCTGAACCACGTGAGGATATGAATGGAACAATGAAAAATGAGTATCTGTATATTATTAGATATAAAGTTGGAAGCATCCAATAAAAATGAAAAAAACGTGTAAGTTTGTCTCTTTTCAAAATAGAAGCTAAGCGAGCGTGACTGAAGTAGCACAGGAATGCTCATTCACCCTAAGTGTCTTGGGGAGGGTAGTGACAGCAAGATGATCTTGGTAGACATCAAAAGACCTGAACCGTGTCCCTTGTTCAGAGAGGACAGCTGTGGGTTTGGGCAGCTCATAAGGACGTTTGGTCCTGTGTTGAACTAGGGTGAACTGCTTTCTGTGCATGAATTAGGGCACCACCGGGAAATCTTTTGGGGTCTCAATTGCTTTTGAGTTATCGTGTAAGATTAATAGGACTGAGGCTGTAACCACAGCAGTCACAGCCAGTGGTATATGGATGGGGAGAAATGGAAAACTCCACTGTCAATGGAAATGGTTTAAAGCTTTTTTTTTAACTGAAGTGTCTTTTGAATAGAAGCATTCTCCTCCCATACAGCAATAATAAACACACTTGTCACAGCTCCAAATCCAGAAACTGAGTATGTATACAAACAGAGCAAAAGCTCAGACTTCTCTTTGTTCAAACTGATAAGAGTTAAAAGTGAAAACAAAGCAAATTATTAGACATTCAGAATGTGAATGGTAAAGTGCTGCTGCTTGCAGGCAAGAGAAGATCTTAAAAGTTGTTTTGTAAAGGAACTTGTAAACGGTTTGGAGCAAATGAGGTCTGTGTGCTCTTTCATAGTTGGATATGTGAGGACAGCATTTTAAATATCATGTTAAAAGTGAAGTAGCATGAAATGGGGTTTGAGCTCCTGGCTTCTCTCTCATTCTGTCACTGACCTCTGACAGCTGACATGAATCACCTAATTTTCCTCACCTTTAATCATTTTGCACATGCAGGAAGTCAGTGCTGAGTACCTTCTCTCAGCTGAGGGCAACGTTACCCATCTATGCAGACAACTTTGGCTGTGTATGTAGAATGTCATATGGCAATGCTACTTAACCTCTTGCAGCGAACACCCGTGCATATACTAAAAGGCATCTGCTCCACGCCTCAGAACTGCAAGTCCACGTCTGAAAATACTTCTTTGCAGTTGCAAATTTTTGAAGTCTGTTGTCAGGCCCCTCTCTCTACTCCTGCGATGGGGGAGTTGGCTGTGGTTTCAGCTGCCTTGTGGGAGAACTTAGACCTCTGCCAGCTCAATCTGTGTCCTGGATGGTGTCCAAATGGGTCACTGCATCACACTCGGGTCCCAGGAATGTTTAATATCCCTGAATTACCTGTGCTGTTTTTTCTTGTCTGTTAAAAATACTTAAAGCAAAAATTTTGTGGAGAACGAAGGAATAGATGAGAACAATTAGGGGATGGGGAGTTCAAGCAGCAGCTGTGATAAGGTTTGCAGGGCGTATGTCTTCCGATTGGCTTGTCCTGTCCCATTTTGTTTCTGGAGACTCCGTATTTGAAGGATTTCATTCAGCCTCCTCATCTCTGCTCATGTGTCTGAACCATTGCTTGTTACCATGGGGATATTTACAGCCAAAGATGATGCTGTGAGGACTGAACTGCTTTAGTCGATCTCTTTAAAAGGCATTTCAAGCAAGCACAGTACCGAGTATTTTGAGCAGATTTCCTTCCCTATACAGTATCAGTACCAAGTCTACTCTGTGCCAAGGTGAAACTTGGAAAGTGTTTGAAAATGTTTTCTGCTTTCACTGTAATTCATCCTAAACGGAGTTCTCTGTTATTTTACAGAAAAGCAGTAAAAACCCAAACAGGATTTTTTTTAACCCATGCTTTGTGTGTATGTGGAGATTTACAGAAATGTCCTTTTATTGTGTAAAGATTATACTTTTCATGCGCATAATTGGCAGAGAATTCTGGTTGCTGTAGTGCTAAGAGTGGATTCATTAGTAGAACTTCAGTTCACTGTATCTCTTCAACTGAAACGAGAAGCCTTTTGGTCTGAAAACATGATATAGTATACAGGATGTCACAGAGCTGTTCTTTCCATCCTAAACATTCTGTCCAAAAGCAAAAGCAACCCTGGGAGTTGATCATTTGTAAGTTTATTTACCAGTGTGCAGGAGGATATTTGGATGGATGGATGGATGGATGGATGACTTACCTGGCTGGACAGAGTATTCTAAATGATCCACAGTCTGGTTCAAAGTAGTCAAATTTTTGTGGTCTGTGTCTTTTTAAGTCCAGTAGTTGGTCATCTTCCTATATAATGAAGGAAAGCAATGAAGAGTGAAGACCTTGTGAACACAGACTGTAAGTATTCAGAATTTGGCTGTGGTGGGAGATTTCCGCTGTAAATGAAAGTTCTCCGCTCTCTCGGCTGTTCTCCCAGTTTCCGTAAGGCCAGCAGAGGTGGTTTTAAAATGCAGGTTCCTCCCAGAGGTTTCCCCCCCACTTCCTAACTGCAGTGATTATGTTTTGTCAGCATTTCTCTCACTTTTTTTTTTACTTTCTACGAAAGGCCATATTGATTAAAGAATAGTATCTATTGACGTGTGTTTATAAGGTTTTGCTCTCTTGCTGCCATGAAGTTGATGCTGCCTCCTGTGTGGGCAGATCTTTGCCGAGAACTTCCTGAGGTTTCCATCCGTCACGTCTCAGCCCTCTGCAGATCCCATCCATAAGGCACAGAGCAGTGGAGCCCTGTTCACTTCTAGCTTGCGGTCTGTTTTTCTTTCACACAAGTCACTTTTGTGTCTGTTTTCTGTGTTTCTTGTCTTGCTTAAGACTTTCATAAAATTCTTTGTGAGAGACATCAGCATGTCTTTTGAATGTAAATAAAAACTGGTGATGAGAGCGCAATGCGTTTTCTCCCCTCTGCTCTGCTGGTGGCTTATCCCTGAAGTTCTCTGCTTGTTGGCTTCCTTCGCTTGCCTACGGGGCTCAGCACTCAAAGTGCCGCAGATAATGCGATCAGACTGCATATGGTGGAAAAGAGCATTCTTCCCTAGGTTTGATATTGCTGGATCTGACTGTGCGAAGATCAATGATCCTAGCTAGATTTCCCCAATGCAGCAGCCTAACGAATGTGTTGCTAGGCAGATTATCCAGCGTCAACTTCTGTTTCTCGTACGTGTAGGAGCTTAGGAGAAGGTATCAATAAAGACAAACACAAATGCTTGTACCAGCACAGGAACCGTGAAAAGAAGAGGGGAATAAAACCCGGTGGAGTATAGGGAGGGTATGGGACAGCTGAGTGGGCTCTTGTGGAAGAGAAAAAGTTAAAAAGGATAAATGAGAGAATTGTTATGTTTAGTTGTTAGATTCTTCGATAAATTCTGACTTGTGTGAACACCGTGGAACACTCACTAGCTGAGGTCTCTGCTCCCCTCAGGAGGAAAGCGGAGGGAGTCAGTTCCTGTGAATCTGGCTTGTGATAATATTCCCCCCCGGAGCTGCATGCTGAGAGGGCGAACCCCCCTGAGGTGGTTCCCATGCAGAGATCTCTGCTCTTTTTTGTCATCTTAGCCAGTATCGCTGGGCTTTAAAAGATATTATAGAACGAGGGAAGGATACGTTCACTGTATGCCCTCCGGTGCTGTGAACTAACGGAGGCCGGATGACAGTACCGGGCCGTGCAGCAGCGTTGGGTTAAACAAGGGAAGAGGCCAGCGGTCGCTTGATGAGGGATTGGCCAAAATGCCACTGAGACCTGGTACTGCGGTCTTGGCTGCGTGAGGATGGTGGTGCCAGTACAACGTGAGGCTTGAAGCTGAACAGGAGCTGTAGGTACTGCGGATGCTTGTTTTCAAAATCAGTTCTAGCAATATTAAAGTAATTAGGAACAAGTTTATCAAACCCACTGTAAACTGTGGTGGTGGCAACTGGAAACTGTCTAAGCACCTGTTAGCACCTACATTAAAAAGACGGTCTTCACTCATACAAGTATAATGTCACTTTGCTCAAACGCAGACGGACCCTCCGTCTTTTCATTCGATGGAAGTCACTAGAGAAACTCTTCTTGGCCTTATTTCCCCGAGACACGCGGGTGAAAGGCCAGACTGGCTGCACGCCGTGCATGGCCTCGGGTTGTTCTTGGGTCTGTGAGCAGCCAAGAGTTCAATGTGTTCAGCGCACTGAGTGGGACAGAAATGGCGGTGACGGTTTGTTTCTGCAAGAACAGGCGGTTTGGGTTTTGGCCCAGGTTTGTCTCCTGTCTGATCCCTGCCGTGGCTGCGCAGAATTCCTTGTCCCCGCCGTGAGCTGCTGTGGAGAGCTGCTTCTCGAAAAACTCGGCGAGTCTGTAGCAAGGCTAGGGAGCAAACCTAGATGTTGTGGGGTCAGGAGGATGGGACGAGACAAGCCAAGTCTGGACATGTTGAAAATGGGCCAGCAAGAACAATGAGAAAACCCGTTTGACCGACGCGCTGCAGTAAAGCAAACGTGAGATGTTCCTCGCTGCGGAATGGCAGGTGTCACTTGGTACCCCTGCCAACTGAAGGAGGACGAAATGGAGAGAGGAGAAGGAATTTCTAATATAATTCAGTGCCACAGAAGATCGTTGACTCAAGGGTTCTGCGTGCCGACTGGATTAAATAAAGACTGTGATAATTTCATGACTGCTACCCGCATTTGCAGCCCTGGGAGCCTGTCAGATTTAGTGAGTCCCGTGCTCCGGGCAGTGCCAGTGGGTGCAAGGAAGGATTCCCCTACGCTGGCACCCTTCTGCCCAGACTAGGCTGAAGTTTGTTACCTGTCAGGCAGCTGTACTGCACTATGGCCACAGGCGGGAGGTAAAGGGCACTGGGTGCAACCGGGACTGCAGCGTACACCGAGCAAAACCATCAGAACAGCGATGTTTGGAATCCCCATCAGCAAGGGCTTTTGCTCCAAAAAGGCGAGAAGGGAAGACGGCTCCTGCAGAGTTACGCTGAGAAACCCGGCTTATACCTGAGCCAATGGCAAAATCCTTCCTTCGGCTGAGAGCTGACCCAGCCTAGTTTGTGGGCACGGCTGGGAGGTCAGGAACGCTGGCTGATGGCCAGGCACAACTTCAGTTACACAAAATTCCCTGAGAC